CTAATTTCAAAATCCATACTTCTTCATAAAAATTTACTATTTTAAACGTGTTTTAAGTTTCTAAGAAACTTAAAAAAGATAGAAAAAATAATCACAATTAAGATGGGGTGGGTGGGCGGGGTTTATATTTTCCCTTTTTTTTTTCTTAATATACATAGTATTCTTTGAACCCGATACTCAAAAACATGTCTTTAATTTGTTGTAAAAAAATAAGTATTTTGCAGTTAAGCTCCGCCCCCCTTGATTCACGGCGATTAAAAAAATCATCACAATTGAGATAGGGCGGGTGGGCGGGCTTACATTTTACCTTTTTATTTTAATATGTGCAGACTTCTTTTCACAGCAAGAAAACATTAAAATATGTTTAAAATGGAAAATTTGTATAACGAAATATCGATTTTGCAAATAGGCTCGGCCCCATAATTACAAAATCCATATTCCTTGCAGAAATGTACCATTTTAACCATGTGTTAAGTTTCTTGTTGTGAAAAGATGGCTGTGTATATTAAGAGAAAAAGAAAGGCAAAATATAAGCCCCGCCCTATCTCAATTGTGATGATTTTTTTATTCGTCGTGAGCCAAGGGGGCGGAGATTAATTGCAAAATCCTTATTCTAACGGCGTGCCAACTTCCAACGGCAATGTCAACGGACATTATAAACGACGCATACCTCTGCTTCATATTTATCTTCTAACAGCAACGTCAACGGTGAATCGACCTTAATACTGTTTTGCGAAGACCGAATATGCGGCAGGTCTTTTGGGTTTGTTTTACAATGGTTTGAACGCACTCCGCCATATTTTTGATGATGGATAAATATACAAATTTCAATACCAAACCTCAAACCTCAAAGTTGAGAATCCGTGTCTTCCTGTGGATGAATGGATAAGGTAAAGACACCAGTGATCGACACTATTAGACCAACATAAACAAAAAAAAATTCAAAATTGGAGATTTACGGTCAAGTAACTTGGAAAATTTTCTCCTCCGAATTTCATACTTCGTATTGTGTGCTGGTGCTTGGCAAAACTTCAGTTTCTGCTAACACAGTTTTCAATTCTTTTAGCTGAATCTTGTGTTCTGCTTCTACTTCATTATAATTCTGATGTTCCAAACTAATATCCTCTTCTGTTTCATTATCTATTACTTCTTGTGTGTGTTTCAAATCCAGTGTTGATGGTACATTTGGATCTCTCTGGCCCATTTCATCTCTTTCTGAGTTTTCAACATTTGAGGTGTTCATATGTGCATCTTTTTTAATTTTTTTCCAAACTGAAAATAAACTTTTATAGATAATTTTGCCCTCCCATTCACTTTCATTCTCATTTTTTTTTAATTCCTCAAGCATTGTCACTGGAATATATTTTTCTAAAATGCGAAAGCTTTTGGAAATTTCTTCATTAATAAATAAAGAATCATCAACTTGTTTTTCCTGAATTGCGATCTTTCCAAAATCTACATTTTCAACATTAAAGGAGAAAAGTCCATTGCATCTAAAACCGTTTTCAACTGTTTGTGAATCAATCTGTGATAAAGCTTGTTCAAAAATAGGTGCAAAATTTTCCCTCCGAATTTTATTTCCATTGTTTTCTACACGCCAACGTCGAATAGAATTTTTCCAATAAGTCTTGAGTGGTTTGAATACAGCAACATCCATGGGCTGTATCAAGTGAATAGAGTTTGGGTAAAGTGCTACAAGTTCTATTTGTTTGCTACTGCAAAACTGTGATAAATGGAGGATCATGTGAGAAGCATGACCGTCAATGAAAAGAATCTGGTCTTTCGATCTTCATTTCGTCAAGCCAAGGATCAAAAATATTTATAATATATTCATAAAATGTTGGGCCGCACATCCAACCACTTTCTGAACGTCCAATACCCCACTTAGGATTTACACGGCTGGAAATATAACCCAGGATCCTTTCATATCTAAATACAATCACTGGAGGAGCTAAATTTCCATTTGCATTAGCTGTTACTAAAACTGTCAAATTTTCCTTCTCATTATTGCTGCCCGCACTATATACGGTTTTATTACCCCTTTTGCCAAAACTTTTTCACCTTCTAGTTGTAAACAGAAAATGAACTTTCGTCAGCATTGAACACTCTTTTAGGGTAGCTTAATATGTGAAACAAATTTCTTGTTTTTAGATCTTCTTCTATCTCTCTAAACCACCCTCGAATTTGTTCTACTGATACATTCTCTCTAGCTGGAGTTAAGTTTTGCGAAATCCTTTGGCTAATAATTGGGTGTCTTTTAAGAAATGATGAAAACCATTTTTTTCCCGGCCGGCGGCCGTCCATTAACAAACGGGGTTTCTCTTTTTGTCTGTATATAGTAAGTATATCATGTAGATGGTTAAATGCTCACCAAAATTTGACCCGCCCATCCACCCTCTTTTTTCTTTGAGGGTATGTCATTTGCCAAAATCAGTCTTTCTTAGCAGGTACTAGCCCCGCCCACCCACCCGTTCTCTTTTTTTCAGAAATAAGAAATAAATGTTATATCAAACAAGTAGTATAACAAAAATATTACGATTAATGCTTCTTTTAACAGGCTACAAGATATGTCATTTGATGAATGGGAATAATAGATGATAATGTTAAAAAGAAGCGTTAATCGTAATTTTTTGTTGTCCTACTTATTTGCGATAACATTTATTTCATATTTCTCAATGAAATATATAAAAATTAATATAACGTTTGTGTCTGTTCTTTTTTTACGATATTTCTCTCTCTCTTGTTTTTATTGAACTGTTTCCAAAAAAAAAGCTGCAGTTTGTATTAAAATACATCTATTTTAACATCATTTTATCAAAGAAGAAAGGAAAAAAGTGCTATCGAGTCTCCTTAAGTTATAAAAGTCGACATTCGCTAAAAAAATTTTTTTAAACTTTAAAATTAACGCATTTAAAAAAAACTCTCGAACAGGTGAACTAATTTTCTTAATTGTGTTTTACTCTGATGCTATTCATTTGTTTACGATGTCAACATCATTACGTCTCGAGATATATTTAACAAATTCCCCAGATATTTACAATTTTTGTGTCACAATTTTTACTTTTATGTACTTAACACGCTATTGATAAGAGTGGTATAATAGTTATGCGTTGATTCGAAAAATATTCGAAGGTACAGTTTATGTCCAAAACATTGTTCTTACATACGTAGATAAATTAACCAACCGCACGGTGATAAGAAAATCCTAACAGAGTTTTACGTAATTATGGAATTACAGCAGAGATGATCCGGAGAACCCAAAGAAATTTCCACAGAAACCTCAAAACGGGAAATTAAATTTGTGGCGTCATCTCAAAAAGTTACGACATTTGTTTCGCTCCAAAGGCGACGAAAGTTCAACTTGTACTTATTCTCGTCAGTACTTCGTATTGTTCTTTAATAGTTCAACCTTCAATATTTACAACAATGCCGAACGACTCTACGAACTAATAAATCTGTTTTAAAATTAGCACAGCTCCAATCAAACTTCTTTCAATTATTTGCAACAAATCTATCCTTGATGGTAAGCTTGCAAAAAATACAGAATAATGGGTTAAATACACGACCATTTTTAAGTGCAGCTGCACCCATTCGGGCACTCCTATCTCTTTAATAAATTGCTGTAAGGTCGATGCTTTGTTCCCAAAACGTTTATTTTTTAATTTAATTTCCACATCGTGACAAATACGAGCAGAATTTGTTTCAATAATCTAAAAATATACAGACGAGATTAGTCCTAGGTTTATTTTTAATGGGTGACAGTGACCTAAATAACGCATAAACAGAGAAAAATAAAGAAATAGAAAAACCGAAGCTTAAATAGACAAACATTTCTCGATCAAATATTTTCACACTTTACAACTTAATGGGAATTAAATTTAATTAATTTACATGTGATAACCTTTTGTATACATTCCCGAAGAAATGATTTATCAAGGTTCCGATCTAAATTTAGCCAAATAGTCATAGCTGGTGATTTTTGGAAATGGATCAGTTTTAAGAGGAAATTAATTCGTTTAAAGTGCTATTTCGTGTCTTATAAATAAATGTGCAAGCAACAGCCTTGTAATGAGTGATTTAAGTAGGTTACAAGGTGGAAAAGTAGTGAAGCATCGCTGCAGTTTATTGATTTTTAATAAAATCTGGGTTGGTTCAGAAATAGAGTTAAGGAGATGGATCAATGGGGAGATTTTCACACTTGTGTTGAAATTCAGTGAAAACTTGACATTGGAATGTTTTATAAGACCGGTCTGTTAATTGACAGTGATATACTTAGATAAAATGAGAAATGTAGGCAGTCGTCAAACGCCGAATAGAATCGTATACAAAAATACTCTACTGCTTGTTTTTTATGGAAACTAAACATTATATAACGTAAGCCACATAAATAAATTTTATCAGAGAATAACCATTCCAAGAAGTCAATATAAATCGAAGCAGAATTTAGTAAACCACAACAAAATCATTATCAGAGAAATAATAACGATAAAAATTCAATTAGCTGAACGATAAAGAACTGTTAAATAAACAAAATAGCTGATATTGTCGCAAGTGCATGTTATCCAAGAGGAGCAAACAATACAAGAAGAAAAAGATATAACTAAACATAAAACGAAAAATCAAGACAAATCTTCTGTTTCTAATTTGACACACATACTTTCAAACCGAGACATTTTTATCCAAACCTCGTAAATATGCACCGCGCGTACACAATATTGTACCGAGTAAACCAAAATAAACACACGGTCTAATTTTAACCGCATCTGACATCCAAACTTTCGAGATAAATCAGTTGTCTCGCAAAAATTACACATTACTTCACTTTCAGTAATCAAATAGCAAACCGACATAAAACAACACACAACACAAAAATAAAAAAATGTAGACATACAAATAATTAAACGTTCGTGATTCTCCAGTAATTATATCAATTCCGTCTAGTTAAGCTCCCGTCACATGCTAATTATTTTGTCTACGGTTTTATTTATTCGTGTACTCACCCGCCAGCACCACCCCCGCCACGACCTTAGCCAAACTTTCGTCCACCATTCCTCACCCACAATTACACAACAAAAACCAACACTTTTTGCTTTTTTATTAGGTCGTGCATAATATTCGCGATCCGCGTTACGTTCACGTTCCACTGTTATAAATACGCGCCCAATATTTGAGTGTGACGCTGGCTTAAGGGGCGCATGCGTCGCGGTTGTGGGAGCGTCGCGTCGAGTGGGCGTCCGTCACAAATGCTAAACGTGTGACGATCGCGAGGTGTTGACGTCTCTGGGAGAAATTTGCGACATCGATGCGGCGTGACGCGGTTTTGCCGGGGAAAAACAGAGATGCGGTTGGAAGCCGTGAAAATTAGAAATTGTATTTATAAAAGATAAAAGTGGCGCAAAAACCGAGTTTAATGACAAGTAGAGCAACTCTCAAAATTAGAATAAGGCGTTTAAAATTTATAAAGTAAGGCGTCCGTCAAGGTTGATAAAAAATGCACAACAAAAGGAATACTCAATAACTGTGTAAACAAGTACGGGTAAAGAGCTCGTGGATTGTTAATTAAACCTATTTACTTGTTTATAAATAATTGTCGTCACGATTTTACGATTCACTAGAATGCAAATAAAGTTTGCCAATTGTAAAGTACGGACTGGTTTCGAGCTCACATGGAGAATAATTATTGTCGTGTAAACAACGTTAAATTCACTTTGTATAATTTATTAATTCCGAGTTAGCTACTGCAATAAATAAATAGTAACGAAGATGTAATAAAATTTTATTGGTAAATGAAACAGGTGAACTAGTTAATGTGTTTGAAAATATCCTTGGGACATACGCGTCTCTTTCAGTCTTCAAAGTTCTTAATCTACACTTTATGTAATACAACTGATAAATTTCATGTAAGGTAAAGGCACCAGTGATCGACAGTGCACCAGTGTCCGCCACTTTCCTTTGTTGTTGTTAATATTAAGCTCATTTTACGTTCAAATGAATTAGAATCAACAGTGAATTGCTCCATATTTATGTTGGCAATAGTGGAGAAGGAGACAGAAACTTTACTAAACTTTAAGTTAAAAAAAAATGACGTTGATGTTCAGAAGATCAGCGCATGTGTTTCAGTGTCGTTTTTGTAAAACAGAACCGTAAGGTAAGTGGTATACATTATTGCACCTAAGTTCCTTGTTAATCGTTTTTGGTCGATATATGTATCAATGTCCAAATATCAAAATACATATTATTAAAGCGATCAGTCAATGTAAATCAGATTTTGTACATTTTCTAACCTATACTGCGGGGGGGGGGGGCGTCGATTATTGGATACAAAAAATCATTGGGGAACCACTGATACAGGGAAAAACGTTTTTTCATGTTGGCAACACTAACATAAAGCGCGCAAAATTTAAAATATCGCGTTCAACACCAGACTTCTGTACCATGATTTACTCCAGTGTTCGACACACATGTGTCAGTAACTGGGGCAACAAATGTCTGATACTAGTTCGTTAATTTCAGAGAAATGGCTCCTAGAAGGAATTATACAAAAGAACAAATGTCTAAAGCCATTGATGCTGTTGGGCGTGGAATACCGATAGCTACAGCAGCAAAGGCTTTTTCTGTCCCAAGAACAATACTTTTGGATAAAATAAGTGGCAGAAGTTCGCTCGAGATCAAGATGGGGCCAAACACAGTGCTAACACAACATGAAGAAAAAATGTTAGAAGACTGTATAATGTCTTTGTCTGATATGCACTACCCAATAAAGAAAGATGAATTACTTGACAGTGTTCAACATATCATCCAACAGACAAAAAGAGAAACCCCGTTTGTTAATGGACGGCCGGGAAAAAAATTGGTTTTCATCATTTCTCAAAAGACACCCGATCATTAGCCAAAGGATTTCGCAAAACTTAACTCCAGCTAGAGAGAATGTATCAGTAGAAAAAATTCGAGGGTGGTTTAGAGATACCGAAGAAGATCTAAAAACAAGAAATTTGTTTCACATATTAAGCCACCCTAAAAGAGTGTTCAATGCTGACGAAAGCGCATTTTTTTACAACCAAAAGGTGAAAAAGTTTTGGCAGAAAGGGGTAATAAAACCGTATATAGTGCGGGCACCAATAATGAGAAGGAAAATTTGACAGTTTTAGTAACAGCTAATGCAAATGGAAATTTAGCTCCTCCAATGATTGTATTTAGATATGAAAGAATCCCGGGTTATATTTCCAGCAGTGTAAATCCTAAGTGGGGTATTGGACGTTCAGAAAGTGGTTGGATGTGCGGCCCAACATTTTATGAATATATTACAAATATTTTTGATCCTTGGCTTGACGAAATGAAGATGGAAAGACCAGTGATTCTTTTCATTGACGGCCATGCTTCTCACATGACCCTCCATTTATCACAGTTTTGCAGTAGCAAACAAATAGAACTTGTAGCACTTTACCCAAACTCTACTCACTTGATACAGGCTATGGATGTTGCTGTATTCAAATCACTCAAGACGTATTGGAAAAATTCTATTCGACGTTGGCGTGTAGAAAACAATGGAAATAAAATTCGGAAGGAAAATTTTGCACCTATTTTTGAACAAGCTTTATCACAGATTGATTCACAAACAGTTGAAAACGGTTTTCGATGCAGTGGACTTTTCCCCTTTAATGTTGAAAATGTAGATTTTGGAAAGATCGCAATTCAGCAAAAACAAGTTGATGATTCTTTATTTACTAATGAAGAAATTTCCAAAAGCTTTCGCATTTTAGAAAAATATATTCCAGTGACAATGCTTGAGGAATTTAAAAAAAATGAGAATGAAAGTGAATGGGGGGGAAAAATTACCGACAAAAGTTTATTTTCAGTTTGGAAAAAAATTAAAAAAGATGCACATATGAACACCTCAAATGTTGAAAACTCAGAAAGAGATGAAACGGACCAGAGAGATTCAAATGTACCATCAACACTGGATTTGAGACACACACAAGAAGTAAGAGATAATGAAACAGAAGAGGATATTAGTTTAGAACATCAGAATTATAATGAAGTAGAAGCAGAACACAAGATTCAGCTAAAAGAATTGAAAACTGTGTTAGCAGAAACTGAAGTTTTGCCAAGCACCAGCACACAACACGAAGTACGAAATTCGGAGGAGAAAGCTGAACCCAGACGAATTAAGATAATTTCAGTAAACAGTCTGGGCAAAGCATGTGAGTCAGTTGTTCCAACCACTCCTAAGAAAACAACTATAAATTTTAATCAAAATGTACCATCACCATTCAAAAAGGCACTGTTTTGGCCTGAAAAAACAGTCAAAGAAACTAAACGCAAACGGAAGGAAAAGATACCTGCGGTAATAACTTCTAACGCATGGCAGAATTCACACAAAAAAGAAGAAGAAAAAAAAAGAAAAGTGGAAGTGAAGGAAAAGAAAAGTCAAGAATGACAAGCCAAAAAAACTTGAAAAAGACAAGAAAAAGATAAAAACTAAACAGAGGGTGTTACTGACGAGCGATTCTGAATCTGAGGAACAATGGGTGGAAAGTGGTGACAGCCTAGACGACATTTATTTAGAACAAAAAAATAACGATGAAGACTTTGGGTATTACAAAGTTGAAGTAAAACCAAAACCACTTTAAGCAACCATATCAGAATTCATAGGTAATTGTAGAATATGAACAGCACTATTTTCCTGGTCGAGTGACAAAAGTGGATACAGACGGATATTTTATTTCTACCATGACAAAAAGTGGTTTATGTGATTGGAAATGGCCAAACAAAAGGACGAAATCCATTATACAGAAAAAGAAATAATAGAAATAATACGAGCACCAAAAAAAAAAAAAATTCACGTGGAATATATTCTGTGCCGGAAATGGCAAAATATAGAGATTTTTCGGTTTGAATTGATTAACAAATATATTAAGACTGATTAAAACCTAATGGAGACTGATTGTTAAGCCGTTAATTTTATAGAATATAGATTTTTTTGTTCATTGATATAATTTTACGTTATGTTCTTATATGAGAATTAAAGTTTATTTTTTTATATCATTCTGTCTACTTTTATTCGAGACAAATCTCTCCAGTCATGTCAATTACTGGGGTATCGATTATTGGAAAATCAAAAAATTCCTGCGTCGATTACTGGGGATTTGGAACAGTTGTTCAAAAAATTCAAAATTTCAAAACTACACAAACAAATCCTCATTTGTTATTATAGGAATAAAGAGAAAGAATCATTGAACCTCTAAAATAATTTTCCAAGTTACTTGACCGTAAATCTCCAATTTTGACATTTTTTTTGTTTATGTTGGTCTAATAGTGTCGATCACTGGTGTCTTTACCTTATTCATTCATCCACAGGAAGACGCGGATTCTCAACTTTGCGGTTTGAGGTTTGGTATTGAAATTTGTATATTTATCCATCAGCAAAAATATGGCGGATTGCGTTCAAACCATTGTGAAACAAACCCAAAAGACCTGCCGCATATTATACTCTTTATTCGGTCTTCGCAAAACAGTATTAAGGTCGATTCACGGTTGACGTTGCCGTTAGAAGATAAATATGAAGCAGAGGTATGCCTCGTTTATAATGTCCGTTGACATTGCCGTTGGAAGTTGGCACGCGGTTAGGATAAGGATTTTCCAATTAAGCTCCGCCCGCCTTGACTCACGACGAATAAAAAAATCATCACAATTGAGATAGGGCGGGGCTTATATTTTGCCTTTTTTTTTTCTCTTAATATACACAGCCATCTTTTCAAAACAAGAAACTTAACACATGGTTAAAATGGTACATTTCTGCAAGGAATATGGATTTTGCAATTATGGGGCCGAGCCTATTTGCAAAATCGATATTTCGTTATACAAATTTTTCATTTTAAACATATTTTAATGTTTTCTTGCTGTGAAAAGAAGTCTGCACATATTAAAATAAAAAGGTAAAATGTAAGCCCGCCCACCCGCCCTGTCTCAATTGTGATGATTTTTTTAATCGCCATGAATCAAGGGGGGCGGAGCTTAACTGGAAAATACTTATTTTTTTACAACAAATTAAAGACATGTTTTTGAGTATCGGGTTCAAAGAATACTATGTGTATTAAGAAAAAAAAAGGGAAAATATAAACCCCGCCCACCCACCCCATCTTAATTGTGATGATTTTTTCTATCTTTTTTAAGTTTCTTAGAAACTTAAAACGCGTTTAAAATAGTTAATTTTTATAAGGAAGTATGGATTTTGCAATTAGGCTCCACCCCTAGGTTTGCCAACGAATTAAAACTTCATTACTGTTACGGGCAGGTATGGGTGGAGTTTAATCTTTTTTTTCTGTCAAAAAAAAACACTATGAAGTCAATGCTTTATTGTCATAATGATTGACACTTAAAAAATAAATTTTCACATACATACGTCATCATCCACATTCCAGTCTACGTCAAAATGACAAACATGGCGAATTTGAGGTTATAAGTACGTAAAGCCTGTTTTAGAGCTTAAGCTTATGTCACTTAAATGACAGAACTGCCCAAGATTTTGTGGCCGAAACTGCACATGGTAATTTCTTGTATAGAAATAATAAGGATTTTGGCTTAATTAAATTCCGCCCCTTTGGCTTTCGACGATAAAAAAAAATCACCACAATTGAGATAGGGCGGGTGGGCGGGACTTATATTTTGTTTTTTTTTCTTAATATCCGTAGTCGTTTTTTCAGAACAAGAAACATAAAACATGTTCAAAATGGTAAATTCTTGTAGACAAATATGGATTTTGCAATTAAGCCCCACCCTTCAGTCTGACAACGAATGAAAAATTCATCACAATTGAGATAGGGCGGGTGGGCGGGGAACATTTTGCCTTGTTTCCTTAATATGTGTAGACTCATTTTGACAACAAGGAACTTAAAACATGTCTAAAATGGTAAATTTTTGTAGTAATCAACTTAAAAATGAATAAATCAATATTACCGAAACTCTACGACACATACAAAAACACATATTGGAAACGTGGCGCTCTAAAGAGGCGCCGTCGAGAATAAATGTTCAAATTCAGGCCGCAAAACAATTATTAAATCCACACGAGGATAATAATAATTAGACCTGAAACAAACTATTAAATCTGTGAAAAAAATTAAAGCCCTCCATAACTAAATAAGTGACGCATTAAAACCAAAGCAAATCGACTTTCCCGTGCATTTAATCATTTTCTTATTTTTAAATTTTCGCGAAATTTTACTTCAAACTGTGACACCACAAAAGTTATTTTTAAGCAGTTGTAGTTATGATTTTTACACATGTTCCTGTGTAAAAGGTGGTGAAGATAGTCCCTGCAGAAGAAAAAACGCTTGACTTATTCCAAATTGCATTTGGACGTTGACCAAATCCTGAACTTGAGAAGTTTGACGCCTCCATAACGACCCTCCCACTCTTGGACGTTATGATAAATGAAACACACGCTATAAATACAGTAATAAGGAACTTTCGTTCAAATAGTGTAGATTGGACTCTTTAATAACAGCATCTGCAATTATAATCAATTATTTTTTCAATGACCGTCCTAATGCAATGTTCTGCCATGATTACAGCTTCTGTTTTCTTAATTATCGTCAAGTGTTTCTATTAAAAATTAAAATAACATTCTCGAGCAAATAAATAGATGGCATGTGTGCATTTAGGCACTAAAAATAAGAACTCTTACCTACTTATTAGTTATGAAATTTAAACCAGATGTAAACAAACGCAAGTTCAACAACCGATTTTTACGTAATCGGGTAATAAGGACTTGGGCGAATTGTTAGGTGTAAATCACGTTTGATTATTTTTCAACAGGATTTTGTACATTTGTAACAGTAAACATAAACTGGGTTTTAATTCAGATGCATCACGTCTTGATTTATGTTGCTGGTAACAAAATAAAAGTCGCTATTTGTTAGGTGATTGCCAGCCGACGTAAATAGAATAGTTTATTGTAGAACGACGTAAACACAAATTTTAAAATGTTTAAATTAGATATAGTTGTCTACAGAAAGAAATCTCAGGACATTCTCATTTTGACTAATTAATTTTTTTTTTATTTTTGCATATACATATTCGCAAAATTTTGGGATGACGTCATTAATTTTTTGGGAGGGGATAAACGAATAAATTTTGATTGCACATTTACCATGATTACGCTAACCTTAAAGTTAATGCAAAATGTTGTAACAAAATTGTGATTTTATTATATAAATTAACCAATTAAACTTATTTTTTAGAAATTTCTTTAATGATTAATATTACCACTTCCATGCTGACAATTGCAGCATAAAATATATCAACAAAATTGTTTGTTCTAACCTGTACTCAAAATTTTAAGGGTTTGAAGTGTTTGTCTTCCAAATAGTTCCAATTTAAACCCAAAGATGGCGCTATCGCAAATCTTAAAATTTTTAAGGAAACCTTGACTCTTAAATAACAAATACTTGCCAATTTTCGGAGAAAAGTATTCCCTGGTTGCTTATTTAATTAAAGCTGATAAATGTGTATAACAACCCAAAAAATCCACTTATTAAAAACGGTTGTGTAACATCTCTAATTCTAGAGGTTATAAAACGTCGAAAAAACATGAAAGTCGAAGTCCCTCGAAGTAAAAATTTACGAAATAAGGTTTTTGAATGTTTCGTTATTAAAACCAAATTACATCTGGATTCCACGAGTAAACAGAGGTTTAAACAGATGTACTAATTAAATGGGTCTGCAAGTGATCAAGACTCTGTGCTTTATAATTAGTAAATGGTGCGAAACGGTATGTCCGACCAATATGTGGTCATCTTTCTTAATGTTGAAAACATAGCGACAATAGGAATTTTGTATTTTTGAAACCTACTACATCGGATTTTATTAAATTAATAAATAAAATATTAAATCCAGAAAAACAAATTTAGTAGAAATACGGCGTTAATTTCGATTTCACTGTTGACGTAAGCGTCATGGGTAACTAGAGCAGAAATTTAAATAATCAGGCGGTATAACTGTAGCGATTTGGGAATAACGTGAAATAAATAAACTCTTGGATGATGGAATTTTAATTACAATAATTTGTTCTATCACATGATCAATTTTTATACGAACACTTTGATTTAGATTTTACACAATAATTTAAGAGAGAAACGAAAAACAATAACAATACCATTTACAAAACATAAGTAATAAATACCATTGCCCCACTGTACCTATGATAGGAACTGTATACACAGTTTCGTTAACAGATATATTAAAATTATTTATAAAAATTTACAAATCAAAATTTATACAATTGACCTATGTATATACAAGTTGTTGCTTAATCACCCACAAATTTGGCATCTATAGATCTCTTAAACTAAAAAGTGTAGTATAAAATAAAAGCTGCATCCGTTTGATCACTTAGTTCAGCTAAATGTTTTAGTTAAATAAGTTACTGACGGTGACTACTCAGTAGTCAAAAATTGTCCATTTAGCTTCACTAAACAAGCTAAAACACTAACCTAGATTTGATTGTTTTTAATTAAGCAGCAACGAGTATAAACCGATTTTTGCCTATTTCAACTATGTACAATTTCAGAGTGAGTCAATGTAGATTAGTTACACGTTCACTCTACATCAGCAGTCACAAGTCACACTCACACTAGCCAAGTCACCGATATATCTATGAAGTAAGTAACTTTAAAATAATCAAGTCTATCAGTCGGAAAATCATCTAAATTGTCTCTAGGTTAATTACACTGACGCTTCTCGGTAGAACGGATTCACTCCCTTGATGGGGAAGGGGTGGCCTTCAGTGTTGAACACCCAGTTGTCGAAGGAGAGTAAGCTGTCGTCGGAGAATAACAGGTACAAGTACTGCAACAAAAACAAAACTCAAGATTAATAAAAAATGAGGCAACTTTATCTTGAGAGTACTTCGATAATGTCGGCGAAGTTGGACCCTGAGTAACCAAATGGAAGTTTTACGCGACTTCATAACAATCTAGTTAGTTCATCGACGCGGTGATAATAATGTCACTCCAGATCATTAACTACGTAATAAATACTTGAAATACACTGACATTATCTTAAGGGCCATTAATAACGCTTCTCTGCTATTACATAGTCCTGTTATGGTCATATAAAGCGATTAGAAGCTTGAAATAGCCCATTAAAATGCAACAACGCTCTCGGATGTAACAAGTTCCGGCTTACTAATCCTCAACTTATTACCCGTTCCCTGTTTTGGAGTAAAGCATACTGTTCGATACGCACACCCGTTCGTTCCCCAACAATCTCTTATTATGATCTTTTACCCAAAATTACAACGTCTACGAAATCAGGGCTCATTTAGACGTTTTGTTTACACCGTTGCCATGGAAACCGTGCGTCTAGTCGCGGTATTGCGGTGTTCCGAGGGTTGTAATTTTCATTCTGCGCGTGTAAAATTGTTTGATTTTAAATAAAAATAGTTAATTAAAAATTTTTGTGAAACATTTTCGAGTTGAGTTTATTTTACACAATTTTGTGATGACTTCATCAACATGGAAGGACACGTGTATGAACTTGGATTGGTGCAGTGTAGTACTTGCTAAGATAAAGCCCCCTAAGAAAATGGAGGGCGGGTGGGTTTAGCTAGTAGTTTTATTCGAAAAATATTGGGTACTGTCATTCTATCATTTATGAGAAATCATATGTGATTCAAGCTCTACTGTTATTTTGACAATTATTAGCACTTTTTAAAAATCTATTTTGTCAAACGATCTTTATAGTTTTGGAAATTTCTTTCTAACCTATAAAATTTAATACGGATATTTACAGCGGTGGCTTGACATCCCCGTGTTACAAATTTCGGTGAAACTTGTATCTGATAATTTTGTCTGTACAAATAGATTCCTAGAAGTAAGCAACGTCAGTAGATAATACATATTTGGACTTGAACTATACATTATTATATATTGTATTTATTTATTAACTAACTAGTTACTGCCTTGAAAAATATTATTGTTTACATTTATCATAATATGTTTTTCTAGATTTTCCATTTTAAATGAATGTCAAAAGTGCCAAAATCAGTCTTATCTTGTCAGATTCTAGACCCGTCCACCCACCCTCTATTTTTTTTGAAGGTATATCATTTGCCAAAATTAGTCTCATCCTAGCAAGTACTTCTCATTCTAACGACTAATTTTATTTCAGTTCAGCATAAAAGATCACTCATTTCATTCAAATGAAAAGGAGACAGGGTGGGTGGGCGAGGCTAATTATTGTGCTCTTCAGTCGAGTGGGACTGGAAACTTATAATAGAATTTAGGTTGTAAGAAAAGGAAAAAAAAAAGAGAAACGCTTATCGTAACTTTTTTTTGTTATACTATTTGCTATAAAATTTGTTTCCTATTTCATGCACTTGACCTAAATTGTATGAAACTATATTTGCCAAAATCGGTCTTATTTTACAAGTACTTGCTAAGATAAGACTAATTTTACAAGTAATTGCTAAGGTAAGACTGATTTTGGCAGATAACATAATCTTCTAAGGAAATAGAGGGTGGGTGGGCGGGGCTAGCATTTGCTCAGATAAGACTAATTTTTGCAAATCAAATTCTCTTAAGAAATTAGAGGGCGGGCGGGTGGTTATAGCACCTGCTATTGAGATTTTTCGGTTTTTCGATTTATCAATTTTTGAACTTTAGATGTCTCAATTTTTCAATTTTTCCATTCTTCAAATTTTCGATTTCTCGACTTTTTATTTTTCGATTTCTGAATTTTCCTATGTTTCATGATACGATTTCTCTAGTTTCGTCCTTTTTAGTTTTACGATTTTTAAATATTTCGATTTTTCAATTTTTCAAATGTTGATGTTTCTAAATTTTCAGTTTTCCGATTTCTGAAGTATTTTTTTTATTTTTCCATTTCTCGACTTCCCAAAGTTTCGGTTTCCCACTTTTTCAATTCTTCAACTTTTCAATTTTTTAAGCTTACGATTTTTCGACTTTTGGATTTTTGGAATTTTTGATTTCTCGGTGTTTTACTTTTTGGATTTTCAATGTTTCGTTAAATTTTCGACTGTTTTATACGTCGATTTCTCAATTTTTCAATTTTTTAATGTTTTAATTTTGCAATTTTTAAAATTCTAGGTTTTTCGATTTCTCCAGTTTTCAGTTCTTTTTTTCAATTTGTCAATTTTCCGAATTTTTTAATTTTCGAGACGGGCAGTAGTATAATAGCAAGAGATATTTACAACACTTTGTTATTGTCAATAAAATTTTATACGGTTGAATGAAATTTCCAAAAATATACTTGCCACGACAAGATTGATTTTGGCAAATGACATGATCTCTAATAAGAAAATAGGGGGCGGGTGGGCGGGGCTAGTACTTGCTAAGGCAAGATTGATTTTGGCAAATGACATAATCTCGAAGAATTCAGGAGAAATAGGCTACTGTCCGTCTCGTTATTGCCAATAAAATTTTATAGGGTAGAAAGAAATTTCCAAAACTATACTAGCCCCACCCACCCGCCCTCTATTTCCTCAGAGATTATGTCATTTGCCAAAATCAATCTTGTCTTAGAAAGTATTAGCCCCGCCCGCCCACCCCCTCTTTTCTTAGAGATTATGTCATTTGCCAAAAAATCAATCTTGTGTTAGTAAGTACTAGCCCCACCCACCCGCCCTCTATTTCTTTAGAGATTATGTCATTTGCCAAAATCAGTCTTGTCTTAGTAAGTACTAGCCCCGCCCACCCGCCCTCTATTTTCTTAGAGGGTAAGTCATCTGCCAAAATCAATCTTATCTTGCTAAGATAAGACTGATTTTGGCAAACAACATACCCTCTAAGAAATTAGAGGACGGGTGGGCAGGTCAGGTCAGGTCAGGCTAGTACTTGCTAAGATAAGATTGATTTTGGTAAATGACATATCTTCTAAGAAAAAAAAGGGTGCGTGGGCGGGGCTAAAACTTGCTAAGCTAGGACTGAACAATATTAAGAGTAGTCACTGGAACCAAGAAGGGGTGGGTGGGCGGGGCTACTGCTTGCTCATTAAACCAGAAAAAGCTAAATTTAACCCCGCCCACATTCTTTCTTCATTTCACTGACTTATTGTATTTAGTGTAAAATGGAAATTGAAAAATAACAGTATTGTATTCCCAAAATTTTCTGGGAAAATGGAGTGAGCCGTTCCTGATTTATTAAGTAAAATAAATTGACTGATTCATTAATTTTTTTGAATGATCCTGTATAAGCAAATCTAAAAATTGAGGTTCTTCATTTGATCAATAAAAAATTGGTTTAAGGCTATAAGTATAATCCGATAAACCCAGCTTTTTAAAAAAAATATAAAATTTGATTTAACTATTTTCGTTTTGTGATAACCGTAACGTAAAAACCAGAGACATAAATAACACCCCTTGTCCTTCGGCATTAGGTAACAGCGATCTGAAGCTCAAGTGTTTATTTATGTTTATACATCGAAAGAATGTCACGTAGAAGTTAGTCAAATTTTGGTGAGCATTTAACCATCTACATGATTTTTGTGTTTATTTCCGTCACACAATTTCGTCTATTAACAACCTGCTTTATATCTTCATATTTAACTCATCAATAAAATTGTGTTCCCCATTTCAAAATGTCACGAGCCCCCACTGTCTTTTACAAATGTGATAAGTGCCTTTTTTATTTGGAAACATTTACCACTTTTGTCCTCAGACAACTATCAATAATTTTTTTATTAAAGACTATTGTTGCCAGGAATTTAATTAATTAATAACAATACAGTGTAAATAAGCAGTTCATAGGAAAAATGTTCTTTTAATGAATGCGAATTTTATATTTTAGACCGTTTATAAATTCCATGACCTATTTCAAAATAATTCTTAAATTTTATTACGTTACACCCACAGTACAATATTTCACTACAACGGCTTTTCATACGAAAAGTAAATGATGCAATTTTGAATTTATCACTCCATTATAAAGTCAAATTAATGTGAAACTAAGCACTTTAAACTTGGACATGAGAATAAAATAAGTACCCATTCTTGTCATAGAAGTTTATTGTAATGTTTTTAACTATGTGGCAAACGTTTCACAGCATTTACATTAAAATCTAACCCACAGCAAGATTAATTGAAGTGTTGGTGGATATTTGATAAAGCACAATCTACACTCAAAACGTTATCTAATCCCACTTAGACTTCGCAAAAATCAATTCTGACACATTATTTAGGTCTGGCCTTGCAACAAAGAAACTTGTGAGATAATATTTTTTTTTACGATGCAACAAATTTCTGTACTAGTTTATGCAACTTTTTTCTTGCTTTAATTTTATGTTTTTTTAAGAGCCGAATTAGCAATTGTACACAATACGACGGGCGCTTACCAACAAGGGAACTTAATATTGAGGTTGGGGGGTCAAGTTATATGATTATGGTTATTACAATCACATCGTGTATGTTCCACTGACTGCATAAAATATGTATGGCAAACTTGTCACGGACTTGTAAAGCTTGATTGAATTGTTAAAACCAAGAAATAAATCAATCTTTCCCATGTGTATTTTAATCTTTTCTACGTTTAATCTCATCCACACTAGCCACCTACTTTAAGCGTCTCCGCCAGGAAGAAGCTCTGCTGCACGTCATCTTTCTGCGGATCCTCCGAGTACACATTCTTCAGGCCTGTGTACCCGCCCGGCACCCTGCACCACTTCTCCAACGCTTGCACCGCCTCCCAGCCCCAGTCCCTGTACTTCTGGTCCTTCGTCAGCCTGTACATGTAGAAGTACGATTCGATCACCTCCGGCCGCAGGATGTAGTACTTCTCCGAGTTCTTCAGCGCCCTGGCCTCCGCCCCCTCCGTGAAACGGAACGCTTCGGGCCCCAGCTTCGTGTAGCTCCGGTCGTACGACTCATGACACGTGCTCGTGATCTTCTTGGCCACGTCCATGTAGCGGTCCGACATGTCGTTTTTGAGGGTCTTGGAGCCGAGAGCCAACAAGCCGCCCGAGAAGCAGCCGAGGTGGTCCATCTTGTGCTCGGGCCGGTCGAATTTCAGCTCGGCGAAGTACATGAGGCCTCCGGCGGAGGTGAAGAGCATGTGCTGGAGGACGGCCTGCATGGCGTCGTCGAACATCTGGCGGGCTTCGTTGTCTTCCTTGTTGGATTGGAGCCAGGCTTTTAGGAGGTATTCGAAGAAGCTGTCGCCGAGGGCGCCCATGGACATGTGGTCTGGAAGAGGATTTAGTTTTATTTTCGCGCGGTTTGGCTGACGAGAATACCGACACGATACAAGAATATGAAAAATTGTGGTTTGTTAATTTTCTTTTGGTTTTTCAAAGCCGAAATTTCACAGGTTTAACAGGTACATTTAGGTTCCACGATAATAAATATTCAACTTACGCTGGCCCCACTTTCCAGTTTTTGGATTCAAATAGTTCGGATAGAGCCCATTCGGCTTTTCGAGGTTCTGTAGGAATTGGCGAATGTGGTCTACTTTATTTCTGTAGATGGCTTGGCCTGTGACGTCACTCAGGTAAGCGAATTCCAGATGGAGTGTTCCGAATTCGGAGAGAATACTTGATCCGCCGCTGGCCCACGCGAAATTCTTACTAGCCTGGAAAAGAAAATTCGATTAATCTATTTGTATGTGAAAATTAAATTCGAAAAAACGAAAAATTATGAAACCACTTTTTTAGTACTATAGAGATCATGAAACGTCGAGAAAACGTGAAAGTGGCAAGTCGTGTGATGGATTCGATTACTAAAACTTCTTTAGCTTACGCTTATTAAAGAACTACGAACTATTTTGAGTCGGTTTTGGGTGAGGTCGACTTAAAACGTAGTCACCTTATAAGCTCAGTGAGGGTGGCTTCTGGACGATTTTAGTACATTTCAACACACCTGGTGCTCTAAAGCGCCGATGTAATGGCCAGAATCTAGCTAAAACTCGGTCTTTTCGTTTATTCCTGAAACTTCTGAAGCTCCCAGATGACGGTAATGTGTCTAAATGTAGTGGAATCGCGAAAATAACGCTTTGGGTCATTTCCAGCAAGTGCAACCACACTTACATTGCAGGAGTAATTAAACCTAACGATAACAAATGTGTTTTAAGGCCTCTAGTACGTTGTACAAGGATATTAAATAAGCGCCGTTGAAAAATTTCAACTTAGCCCCGCCCACCCACCCGTTCCCTTATTTTTTTCTTCAGAATTAAGGAATGTTATAGCAAATAAGCAGTACAACAAAAAAATTACGATTAACGCTTAACATTCTATAGTCCTCATTCTCATTTTACAAACGATTTTCCCCGCCCACCCACCCGGCCTCCATTTTGTCTAGTCCGACTGAAAGGTGGATCTCAATTGAAGAGAGATAAAATCGTTAGAATGAGAACAGCGTGTGTGGGCGGAGCTAGTATCTGCTAAGATAAGATTGATTTTGGTAAATGACACCCTCTAAGAAATAGAGGGCGGGTGGGCGGGGCTAAGAAATGAAACATCAAAACAATTTAAAATTAAAAATCGAGAATCTTAAAAATTGAAATTCGAAGAAATAAAGCACTGAAAAATTCAAAAGAGCAAAAATTAAAAGAATGATAAATCGAAAAAAGGAGAAATGAAAAATTGAAGAAATTTAAATTCTAAAAATTCGATAAAATAAGAAACGAAACATTGAAGTAAAAAAAAAGAATCGCTCAAAAGTTGAAGATGAAAATAAAAAAATTGAAATAACGAAAAATTGAAATATTAAAAGTCGCGAAACTGAAAAATTGAAAAATACAAAAAAGGCGAAATGAAGCAGTGGAAAAGTCAAAAGACGAAAAAACTGATTACTAGAAAGATTGTAAAACCGACAATACTGAAGAATTGAACGAAAAATCGAAAACTTGAAGAAAAACTGAATAGAAAATATGCAACATCAAAAAATTAATAAGCGAAAAGAAAAGGAATGAAATATTTGAAATATTCGAATGACGAAAAATTGAAGAATTGATAAATCGAAAAAAGAGAAACGAAAAATCGACAGAAAGAACAAATGAAACACTGAAGTATGGAAAAGACGAAAAACTGAAGCAATGAGACAGAAAAAAAAAGAAATGGAAAATTGAAAATCAAGATTCTGAAAAATCGAGAAAAGCAGAAATGAAACAGTGGAAAAGTCAAAGGTTAAAAATTGATCAAGGTCCTGAAAATTTGAAAAATCGAAAAAAGGCGAAATGAAACAGTGGAAAAGTCAGTCAAAAGACGAAAAAACTGAACAATCGAAAGGTTGCAAAATGGACAATACTGAAGAATTTAACGAAAAATCGAGAACTTGAAGAAAAATTGAATAGAAAATATGAAAAATCAAAAAATTAATAAGCGAAAAGAAAAGAAATGAAACACTGAAGTATGGAAAAGACGAAAAACTGAAGCAATGAAACACAGAAAAAAAACATTAAGTTATTCAAAACACGGAAAATTGATGGAGCAGAACATCGGAAAAAAAGAAGAAATGAAAAATTGAAAAGTTCAAAAGTTAAAAATTGATCCGAGGTCCTGAAAAATTGAAAAATCGAAAGATTGTAAAATCGACAAAACTGAAGAATTGAATGAAAAATCGAAAAAAAGAAATGAAAAATAGAAAAAATAAAAAATTGAAGAAACGTATACATATGTATTCGAAAAATTCAAAAGACGAAAAAGTGAAACACTGAAAGCAGAAGAAAAAAGAAATGGAAAACTGAAAAATTCAAAAATTGAAAATCAAGATTCTGAAAAATCGAGGAAAGAGGAAAAGAAACATTGAATTATTCAAAAGACGAAAATTTGGTCTAAAGAGTTTAGACAGTACTTCCCTCGCTGTCGGAAACTTGACGACTGCATGCCTATTGTGTTTTTTTTCTCATTACATTTTTGTAGTCGGAATTTAAAAAAAAATTGCGATGACGTCATCAACATTTTTGCAAGGACACATATATCAGTTGGGATAGATGTAGTGTAATACTAAGAATAAAATTATTATATTCTCAAATTTTCGGGAAAATGAATTGGGTCGTTTTGAATATTGATTTGTAATAATCAATAAAATAACGAAACAATACGTATCAGAGGCAACTGAAAATCGTGTATGTATAAACATTCTTAATTTAAGATGACAGGCGTAACAGCATACGTGAGAGTCAAACAGAGAAACTGTAAACAAAACGACCATCGGTTTTATTGCTTCGACTTCCGCTTATTATATAAAACATTGGGTTTTATTTTAATTCTTGACGGTGAAATTCACAATTGGTTGATTATAAACATGTCTATTTCACATTCGCGGAACCAAGTGAACGCATAAAACAAATGCAGGTCTGTAATGTTAAAGTCGATGTAAATAAGCGTGCTACCCTTATGTTTCAACCGAGTTTTTCCTTTAACAAATTTTGTGTCTACCAAATTGGGTTGGTTGGGGTGTAATACTAATAATAATAAGTGTTGCCTTTAATTTAATCAATAAAATAAATTGACTTCTTTAATTTTTTTGAACCACCTCTTAAGAAAATATAAAAAATTAGAATGGAATGATAAATCACAAGTACAAACTCATCATATTTTTTGCATTTTAGATAGGATTTATTCAGCAAAATTTAAGGGTGACGTCATCAATTTTTTTAGGAGGGATGAACAAATACATTTTGAACAAAAGTTTACCATGCTTATAATAACTTTAAAATATTCCCAAGATTTCAAAGCATTCGGTTTTATAATTCCTGATTAAATCGATAAAATAAATTCACGCCTTCATTAATTTTTTTGAGTCACCCTGCATATGCAAATCCAAAAATATGAATGGAATGATAAATCACAAGTACAGACTCATCATATTTTGTACATTTTAGCTACGATTTATTCGGCAAACTTTTGAGCTGACGTCATCAGTTTTTTGTAGAAGATAACCAAATATATTTTGACTAAAAATTTATTATGCTCTTTATAACCTTAAAACATCTGCAAGATTTCAAAGCATTCGGTTTTGTAGTTCCTGATTAAATCAATAAAATAAATTTACGCATTCATTAATTTTTTTGAGTCACCCTGTATATGCAAATCGAAACAATTTGAATGGAATGATAAATCACAAGAAGAGACTCATCATATTTTGTACATTTTAGATAGGATTTATTCAGCAAAGTTTTGTGGTGACGTCATAAATTTTTTAGGGGGGACGACCAAATACGTTTTGATCAAAAAATTACCATGCTTATGATAATTTTAAAATATCTTCAAGATTTCGAAGCATTCGGTTTTGTAGTTCCTGAGTAAATCAGTAAAATAAATTTACGCTTTCATTTATTTTCTTGAATCACCCTGTATATGCAAATCCAAAAAATATGAATGGACTGATAGATCACAAGTACAGACTGATCATATTTTGTACATTTTAGATATGATTTATTCGGCAAATTTTCGAGCTGACGTCATCAAGTTTTTGGAGGGGATAAGCAAATATATTTTGACTAAACATTTATTATGCTCTTTATAACCTTAAAACATGTGCAAGATGTCAGAGCATTCTGGTTAGCAGATTAAAAATTAAATTTCAAAATGTTGTTTTATAATTTTGATTTTTTTTCCAAAAATCTGGACGTTTCGGGTGAAAAGTCGATTCAGAGTTGTAAACTACATGTGTAGGACTATGTTATTTTATACAATTGAAAACCCATTTACTATGTACAATTTTGAAGTGACGTCATCGCATTAGTGGTGGGGATGATTAGACAAATTTTGGTTAGCGTTTTACCATCTACATGATATTCTTAATATAAGTACAAAATTTTACAACAATCGGTCGAGTACTTTCGGAGATTATCTGTCTAATAAAAATCCGGGACGGCAGACGGACAGACAGACGGACGGACAGACGGACAGACAGACGGACGGACAGACGGACAGACAGACGGAAATGGGAGACCTATTTCTTCGTCTTCTAGGGGTCATGAAAGATCGAGAAAACGTAAAAGTAGAGTCGGCCGACGGACTCGATTACAATACTTCCTTTGCTTACGCTCGGGAAGTAAAAAGAACAAATACAAAATTGAACAATTCAAAAGGTAAAAATCGACAAATTAAAAATTGAGGTCTTGAAAAAACTGAATAGAAAATATGAAACATCAAAAAATTAATAATCGACAAAAAGAGAAACGAAAAATCGAAACAAAGAAGCAATGAAACAATGAGTTATTTAAAACACGAAAAATTGATGGAATAAAACATCGGAAAAAAAAGAAATGAAAAATTGAAAAATCGAAAAAATGCGAAATGACACAGTGGAAAAGTCAAAAGCCGAAAACTGAATAATCGAAAGATTGTAAAATCGACAAAACTGAAGAATTGAATGAAAAATCGAAAAAAAGAAATGAAAAATAGAAAAAATAAAAAATTGAAGAAACGTATATTCGAAAAATTCAAAAGACGAAAAACTGAAACAATGAAAACAGAAGAAAAAAGAAATGGAAAACTGAAAAATTCAAAAATTCAAAATCAAGATTCTGAAAAATCGAGGAAAGAAGAAAAGAAACATTGAATTATTCAAAAGACGAAAATTTGATGCAATGAAATATCGGAAAAAAAGAACAAATGAAAAATTGAAGAATTCAAAAGTTAAAAATCGACAAATTAAAAATTGAGGTCTTGAAAAAACTGAATAGAAAATATGAAACATCAAAAAATTAATAATCGACAAAAAGAGAAACGAAAAATCGAAACAAAGAAGAAATGAAACAATGAGTTATTTAAAACACGAAAAATTGATGGAACAAAACATCGGAAAAAAGAAGAAACGAAAAACTGAAAAATTCAAAAGTTAAAAATTGACAAATTAAAAAACGACAAAATAAAAAATTGAAGAAACTTCCTTTCCAAAAATTCCAAAGACGAAAAATCGTAAAAAGAAGAAATGAAACACTGAAGTATCGAAAAGACGAAAAACTGAAATGGAAAACTGAAAAATTCAAAAATTGAAAATCAAGATTCTGAAAAATCGAGGAAAGAAGAAAAGAAACATTGAATTATTCAGAAGACGCAAATTTGATGCAATGAAATATCGTAAAAAAAGAAGAAATGAAAAATTGAACAATCGAAAAAAGGTAAAATGAAACAGTGAAAAAGTCAAAAAACGAAAAAACTGAGTCATCAAAAGATTGTAAAATATACAAAAACTGAAGAAGTGAATGAAAAATCGAAAAGAAAAAATGAAAAATCAAACAATTGGAAAATTCAAAAGACGAAAAATCGGAAATTTGTAGTAGGTACTTGCTAAGATAAGACTGATTATGGCAGACTAAGAAAATAGAGGGCGGGTAGGCGGGACATGAAACATCAAAAAATTTTAAAATACAAAGAGAACTGAATAATTGAAACGAGGTAAAACAGAAAAATTAGAAATCGAGAATCTTAAAAATTGGAAAATTTAAAAGAGCAAAAATTGAAGAAATGCAAATTCCTTAGATCCAAAAAATTCGAGAAAATAAGAAGAAATGAAATTTGAAGAAACGAATACTCAAAAAATCGCAAAGATGGAAAATTCAAATTTACGAAGAAATTCGAGAATCTGAAAAAAAGGAAAAACTGAAAAATCAGAAGGAAAACCTAATTCTAACCTTTTCGTTTAAAAATTCAAGCGTCACAGCCACTACATTCGGCTTACACAATTTTCCACATTTTAATTCCCACTTATTACACTTAATGAATACCCATTAACCGTTTTGTCGAGTTAATTTCCTGAAACCTAGAATTTAATTTTTTTCCTCTTCTCCTATCCACATCCTGGCTAGAATTAACGGTCGTCATTATTATGGTAATCCAACAAACGGAAAGATTACCTAATCTAAACCTGAATTAACGCAATTGCAAATTCCTCATTACACAACAATTACATTTTTTCGACGTCCTCTAATTACAAATTACAATCACCCATTATCCCTCGAACAACAAAAAACACGCGTCCGAACCAACATAATTAAACCGGCGCAATTTACCACAAATTAATTAAATCCTTTGTTTATTTTAATTTTATGTGAACTTGCACTTTGGCCCTGTTATACCTGCAATAACAGTTAACTGTTAACTGTGCAAAGCGCGACCGTTACATTCAAACGTGAAAAGAAGAGGAATCAAGACGGAGCCCCGGTGGTGTCACAAATTTGTCGCTTTTCAGATCGACGCATGCGACACCGTTACGCATACACGTGAAAAGAATAGGAGCCAGATTGGAGCCTCGCTCTACGCCTACAATTCAAATTTTGACATTTATTACTCACTCCGGTTTTCAAGTTGACCAGTGCATGCGGGATGCCTGTCTGGGTCTGGAATGCTGGCAATAGTTTGTCTGCGATTTGTTGGGCCTTGTCTCGGAACATGACGTCTCCTGTGAGAGCGAAGCAGGCCAATAATCCACCCACGAATCTGATGTTCGTCTCGAAGACGGACACGTCGGACGCCTGAAACCAAAAGGTCAGTGGAATGCGCTTTGAAAAAAGTCGACATACTACCAATCAATAATAAATTGCTAAAAAAGTGACAATTTTCTTTTTTTTTTAAAGTTGTGTTCTATAGAATCATTTGGAAATTATAATACTGACAAAGTAATGCATTCTAAAGCTCCCTGTTATATTAAATATCTGTTAGTAGTACAAGTTATTTTAATAATAATCTAATCTAATACTATTAAACGAGCAAAGTTTGTATACAGGGTGTCCCAGAATTCGCGCCATTCCCGTGAATGACATGTTCCCTGTCCCGAACTGTGCCGTAATTCGCAAAAAGAATTGTCCAGGGTTTAACCGTGTGAGAACTGGAAGGCGCTTAAGTTGACCAATAGAGAGGCTGCTTTTATATCCGAACGTTTCTATGTTCAAAGTTACCTATGCCAAGAACAAAAAATCGGGTAATACTAAAGTTGAATGAATTTTTTCCGAATTCCCCTCCGTCAACAAAAGGAAACAGAATTGTGGTTATAAATTTAATCATTTTGACAATTGTTTGTCATAAACTGTCACGAAATTCATCACTGACCTGAAGAGATGCTTCTGCGCCAAAGATGACTGATTAATGTACACAGAGACGTCAAGGTTTACTTTAAGGCAAGTAGCATGGGACAGAAGTTATTTCTGCTGCCATTCTAGTTAAATTGTGTTTAACTGGGCTGTACATCTCATAAGAGAAGCTGTTTCATTTCATCGTAGGCAAATAATACATTTATTACTATTCTACATAGTGTAGATACCGAAGAGCAGGTATTAGAAGTCATTTTCTTAGAGCCCCGTGAATAATGTGTTGTTATTTTTAACGAAAATTAGTACATTTTCAGAATTCACTCTGTATCATATCCCTGATATTAAGTTTATCGTTATTTCTAAAAAAGAGTACCACATGTCCATTCAAAGAACGTTATTTAGTGTACTAAAACATAAATATCGCTTTTGATTAATCGGTGCTTATGATTTTCAATAAACAGTATCAATTTTTACTGAACAGTTTTGTTGCCGATACCTAATCTAAGCAACGAAAAAAGAGACGAGACTCCAGTTCTCTGGTGTATTAAGATCATAGGTATCTGCTGTGGTGTCAATCATGTGGGGGAGATACTGAAAACTGAAACTTATTCAAGAATAATATTGATGTTGCACATGATGATTTAAAACAGTTTCTTTAAAGTTGCGAGTACTTTCTAGAGAGTGAAAAGATACGAATAAAAATTATAACAAAAATCGTTTAGTTGCATTTTTTTTAAGAACAATACAAACTATAAACAAATCAGTACCAATACCACTAAGTCACTGATGTCTTATTCATACTAGTATAAAGAATATTTGGAAATGATGTTAATTTATGGAGAATGTAAACGCTATGCAGCCACTGCTGTGCGCGAATATACAGGTCTTTTCCCCAATCATCGGCTCCTTGACCAGCATGTGAATATTTAATGCGCACAATTGGCACTTCTGGGCAAGCGAAAATCCACATTTAGCTAACGTGAGAGCATATCAAGAGCAATACTATTAATCTATGGGCCCGAATCGTTGTACTGTAACGTTATTAAACAATGTGTTCAAAATGATCACCATTAACTTCAATGCAAGTTCTAGCTCGTCGCATTATGTTGTGTTGTATTTTATTTAACATCTCAGGAGTAACTGTAGCGTAGGCTTCGTGCAGTCTCTCTTCCAGTTCTTCTAATGTATCTAGGGGTTCTCTATATACGTAATTTTTAATTTAATTAAAAAAAAAAAGTTCAAAGGAGAAAGGTCTGGAGATTTAGGAGGCCAGATGTTAGTACTGCCACGCCCAATCCACCTATGAAGATAGACTCTTTTCAATGTTCGCCGTGCAAGTATCGAATTATGTGGAGGAGCGCCGTTGTGCTGAAACCACATATTCCGCCGTACATTCAAAGGAACGTCTTCCAACAACGCCGGAAGCTCTAGTCGTAGAAAATTAGCGCATGTCTCACCATTAAGGCGATCAGGTAACACAAATGGCCCCACCTAAAAAAAAACAGGAACGGAGTTTAGTGATAATTTTATCAGATGCGTTACAATTTTTATCACAATAGTACCAATGATTCCAGCCCATAGATTAATAGTAAATCGCTCCTGATCGTTCTCACCCTAGTGAGATGTGGATTTTCGTGTGCCCAGAAGTGCCAATTGTGTGCATTAAACATTCCTTCTCGGGAAAATGAACATTCGTCGGTGAAAAGAATGCGCCGTGAAAAATCAGGATTTAGTTCATTTTGTCGCAAAAACCATTGAGCAAAATGTACTCGTCGCGGGTAGTCGGTTGGTCGCAGATGCTGCACTCTCGTGTAATGGTAAGGATGCAGTATTCTCTCTTGAAGGATACGATGAGTGGTCGATCTTGAGCATCCACTCATTTGCGCTACATAGAGGACACTTCTCCTAGGATCCGCTTCCATGTTTTCTAACACTTGCTCTTCAGCACCCACACGTCCATTCCGTGGAGCCCCAGCACGGCCTTTCCGACTAGGTTAAAAAGATCCATCTTCTCTTGCTCGATGTAACAATCGGTGAAACATTTGTTGGTCTGGGTGCCGACGATTATTCACGGGGCTCTAAGAAAATGACTTCTAATACCTGCTCTTCGGTAGCTACTTTATGTAGAATAGTAATAAATGTATTATTTGCCTACGATGAAATGAAACAGCTTCTCTTATGACATGTACAGCCCAGTTAAACACAATTTAACTAGAATGGCAGCAGAAATAACTTCTGTCCCATGCTACTTGCCTTAAAGTAAACGTTGATGTCTCTGTGTACATTAATCAGTCATCTTTGGCGCAGAAGCGTCTCTTCAGGCCAGTGATGAACTTCTTGACAGTTTATGACAAACAATTGTCAAAATGATTAAATTTATAACCACACTTCTGTTTCCTTTTGTTGACGGAGGGGGATTCGGAAAAAAATCATTCAACTTTAGTATTACCCGATTTTTTGTTCTTGGCATAGGTATCTTTGAACATAGAAACGTTCGGATATAAAAGCAGCCTCTCTATTGGTCAACTTAATCGCCTTCCAGTTCTCACACGGTTAAAGCCTGGACAATTCTTTTTGCGAATTACGGTACAGTTCGGGACAGGGAACATGTCATTCACGGGAATGGCGCGAATTCTGGGACACCCTGTATATATATATGTAATGGGTTTCTCGAAAACGGCTCTAACGATTTCGATGAAATTTACAGGTTGGGGGTTTTTTGGGTCAAGAAATCGATTCATCGTAGTTTTAACTTCTGAAAATTACAGCTTCATGCATTTTCAGCAATTTTCAGGCGGTGAATTATATTTGTTGCTAGGCAACTTCAGATGACACTACACGAACACGAGATTGTTTTATAAGAGAAGTTTGGGTGACAGTCTGACAGTACGTTTGACGTACCTTTTTATCTTCAATTGTACGTACCGAAACATACTCCACTGTATAGAGGACGGTAAAATTCACCTTCTGAGGTGAGAAAATTTACCGAAAACTAAACAATGAGTGGATAAAAGGCACATGAAAGTGAGTTGAATTGAGATTATTTTGTCAAGTATTCATTTCAGAGGTTCCACGGTCGGAGTCAATGTGTGATCGTTTTCCGGGATGGGAGCGTGTTATTTGAGTTTTTGGGCTCAACGTTTTGCACACTTTCGTAAGTGGTATCTTCGGGAGCAGGGTTGAGATTGAGAAATTAGGAATAACGCAAAAGAGCACGGTAACTCAGTATGTTAACCAGACCAGAGGCGAAACTCTTCTGGCAGTAAGAATGTAGTTGTGACCTTTTTCTAGAGTCGAGAGAGAGAACTAGGAAAAAAAAAGAACGACAGAGAGAATACTTTTGGGTAACAAATGAGATTGTAATAAATGTCAAACAATAATTCCAGTTTTCTGTTCTTTAATCTCTACATGTCACTTATCAGTGTTTAAAACAAAGACTGCTTATGGAATTTCTTTTTTAATGTGTATTTTTAATTAGCGCGTCTACTTCAAAATGCATACTCTACGCATATTTATCTGTCCTAATCTGATCTAATACTACCAAACGAGCCGAGTGAAGCTCGGCCAACCAGATATTACTATTATAAACGAGCAAAGTTTGTATATATATATTTATCTTATACTATTAAACGAGCAAAGTTTGTATATATATATATATATATGTTAATGATAACTTTCGACCTCAAATTCTCTCACGTATATATACTTTTGGGCTCAAATTGGAAGTTTCGGCCTCGCCGTAGCTTTTGAGGCCGAAGTGACTCACACATTCAACGTAACATTTGGACTCACGCATATCCAGTGACATCTTTTAACAGTAATTTTAACAATTTTGGTTTGAGAAAAGATTGTTAAGTATAAAAGTTGGTTGCATAGATGATTTACTTAACAAAGCTAATATTATGACTAGGTTTTATATAAATGCGGGAAGTTGTTTGAAGGTAGTAATTTCCAGAAGAATGTTGGAAATTTATCTAAAATTAAAGAAAATATAAAGCAACTGAAAACAATTGGACAGTAGAAGAGCCAAAAATTCAGAAAGAAGTTAGAGAGTAAGAAAGAAAAAAAAAAGATACACAACAGCTATAGAATGTAAGAAACGGAAAGTTGAGGACATGGAATGAAGACAGGGAAATTTGGATGAAAAATTTTACAAAGAGAGTTGGAATTAACTGAGCAAGGAAGCATAAAGAGAAGGGGTGGTAATTATAAAAAAAATAGAGAGGGAATGGAAAAGAAAAGCGGGGAGGACAAATGGGGTTTAAAATTGCTTGTTTGAAATATTGCATTATTAAGAAAAATAAACAGAATTTATTTAATGAGTACATAAAATTTTGATTTTGTGTGATTAACAGAAACATGGATACTAAAGAGTAAGGGGAATAAATTGAACAAGGAAAAAGGAAAAGTTGAGGGTGAAGCAAGTGGGGGATCCATAACAGGGG